CTTTGAATAGCCATTAATAAAAGTCATAAAATATCTATTCCCCCCTCTAGTTAAGATGTCATTCAATTCATATATATCAAAATGCACAAGTCCTAATAAATTTATATTTCTTTCAACTTTAGAAAAAGCTTTTCTAGTCATATTTGCTTTAATATAGATTTCAGATGTTCTTTTATCTTTAATTTTATAAGAAATTAAATTATGGTTAACCATATATTTTAATGATCTAAAACTAACATGTGCCAGATGATCATGTTATAAAGATAAAGATAACTCAATCATATAAACAAAAACATTAACTTTATTATTAATACAAGTTGAAACATACCATCACATAAGTAACCCTTTCCCATAAAAAATTTATTTTTAGATAGGATAATTTTATTAGACTCTAAAATAATTTTAAAACCCTTTGTACTTTTTACAAAGCAAATTTGTATATATAAGATTTTTCTTTATATCTAGTACATGTAAGATATTGACCAATAACATTTTCTTTTTAGAAGTGAAATTTAGTATAACACATACTTTCTTATCACTTTTACAACATTTTAATTTTCTATTGGAACTTTTTATCCATCTTCTACAGCCTCATACTCTTTGAAATGGTTTTTATTGTTGCATACATGGATGGTTGTATCAGAATCATACCACCTGTCATTAGACATGATACTTACAACCATATAAAGTCTAATAATAATTTTGATATGCAGATTTGAAACTATTACAACCAATTTGGTTTTGTATTTAACCATATTTTCATTATTTAAATTTTGGACATTGTTAAAATCTTATTGCTTTTATTTATTTCAAAACATGCACTTGTGTTTATAATGTCATTGTCACAATTGTAACAGGTCTTTCCTTCCTTTAAATTGCTTGGGTTGTTTTATTTGCTACCTTAACAAATTTTCTCATCTTTCCAGCATTCTTCTTTTGAATAATCTAATTTCCTTCAACATAATTCAATTTTGTTGTTAATTCAATATTGAATTTCTTTACATGAATTTTCATTTATTCTTCAATCTGTGAGTGTTTTTGAATTTGTTCAAGAGAAAGTTCTTAGGTGATATGTACTAGCTTTTTTTCTATAATCATTTCGTCTATGAGGAAATTTTACAATTATCCCTCCTACTTCTACTGCTTCAAGAACTTTCACTTTCAAGTTATGAAGTTTGGAAATCAGAACTTGTAACTCATGAACTTGATCCGTAACAAAAATATTATTGATTATTAAAAATTAAAAATATTTCATGATAAGAAATTTGTCCACACCTTGTTTTTCTGTATTGTATTTGTACTTCAGTGACTTCAATATTTTATTTAGAGACTTTATGAATGTAAAAATATTACACACACAATCTGATAGATTATTGAGGGCATGACCTCTGCACAACAATTCATCATTATCTCATTTCTTACACTTTGCCTTCAACTGATCATTATCTTCAAGTGCGGATGCGGGAATTTTAGACAGATTCAGATTAAGGACGTAGAAGATCTTTAAAGTAGTCAACATGAACATCATCTTATCTTTCTAACAAACAAAATTTGTTCCATCAAAACTTGCTTCATAAACTCTTGATTCACCATAGTTTTGGACTCCATTACAGATTAACACCTTAAATTTGTTAGGGCAATCAGTATAGCAAAAAGGCTTTAAGAAGTGAAGAATAATATCTTTAAAGTATTAATTGCTTCCACTATATTTGTTGGAAGATTAAAGTAATAGGTCTTAAGGATATAACAAAGCCTTGAAACTTATAGACAACAACTTCTATAAGTTTCTTAATAATTTCCGTTTTGTTTTTGATGAATGTAAACAAAGAGTTTAAAGAGAGAAAACTAAAGAGATAAGATCCTTTTTTTAATTGATTTATATCAATATCAAATTCATATTTACAAGGAAAATAATATTTTTTTCAAACTGACATGTCTGTAAAAATTTAAAGACATGCCTTTACAGACCAATATGTATGTAAAAATCAAAAATACAACTTTTCACTTAAATTAAAAGAATAAATTAGCAGGAAGTATTATGCATGATTAATTAATTAAATTCAAAAAATTAATTAATTAAAATAAACTAATTATGAAAATAAAAATTATTTATTTTTATAATTTCAAATGCCAAATGGCCCATTGCCAAATGTCATAATATATATATAATATCTAAATTTTGGTTTTTCCTTAAAATATTTCTTCCAATATCCAAATCTATTGATTTGATATCTCTTATTTTATAAAGTACAACAAACCTCTTTCATTTCTAAGATAGGATATATTTCTCTTTGTCTTACCTAATATTCAAGCTATTATAACACGTGTTTTAAGCTGGTTTTCTTTTTTTTTTGTTTTTTTTCTTCTTTGTTTTTTATTTTTTTATTCATTATCTTCATATATGCTTTACCCTTATTTATAGAAGCTGAATAAGGTGTTTAAGGTCCTTTCCAACTTTGAATTTTGACCCTTGATTTGTTTGGAAATGATCTTAATCATTGGTCATAAGCCAACAACTTAGTACTGTTAAAATCAATTGTTAAAGTTGGCTAGGTCAAGGGTTTTGGTCATTTATAGCAGTGGTTAAAAGGTTGTAGACTAGTAGGGACAAAGCTAAAGAAGTAATATAATTTAGGATGAGAGAGTGATTTATTTTTTTATGTTATTTAGTTAAGGGATGGGAGATGACAAATGCATGAAAGGTGGCATTAGAGTCGGCTTTCTTAGGTTCTTTCTAAAAAAAGACGATGAATATTGCCTAATAATGTGTTGTCTGGCTTCCTTTTTTCTCTCCCTTTATGTTGACCCAAATGACATCATTTTGAACCAAAATGAACAATTTCATTTAAATAAAACGATATTGTTTTGAAAACTTTAGATTCAATTAGGTCATTAAGCCATTTTTTTTATTTCAGCCCTCAATCTTCAAATTTGTTTAATTGAGTTCTTCATTGAATTTTTATTTTAAGAATTAATTCAATTTTACCGCTGTGAAGTTTTAAAAAGACCTTCTAATTTTAACTTGTTTTTCAACTTAGTCTTTGATCTTGAATGTTTTCAATTCCATCCTTAATTGACATTCAAACTTGTAATTTCTTTAATATCAGTCTTATTTTAGCCGAATTTGGTCCGTAGATACGCGAACCCTTTGCAAAGAGTTTTTTAACTTTAAATTTCTTCAATTCAGCTTTTCATTCACATCTAAACTTTGATTTTCTTGCAGTTTTAACATTGATTTCATTTGATTCAGTTTGAGAAAATTAAATATGATCCTTTAAAACTTCAATCTTCTTAATTAAACATGAATTGAGCTTCCAAATTTTTTCACCAATTAAGTCTTTAATTATTAATTTGATCTATTAAAAGTTTAATTAAGTCCTTGAACTTAGTTAATTCTTTTAATTTTGACCCAAATTAGTAATTAAACTTAATTAAACATTTAATTAGGCTTGTGATTAAATCAAATTAGCCTATTAAAAATCTAATTAAATCCTCAAGTTTATTTTTTTGCAAATTCATCTTATATCAATTTAAGTTTACCTTGGATTTGCATTATCTTTTAATCTTAGATTCTTTAGAGGTATAATTAGATCTTCAATTTCATTAAAGATTTTAGTTTGGTTTCTCCATGCATTTAAATTCCTTTCTAGCTTGTTTTTTCCAAGTTGACAGTCATTTTTTATTGTTCTTATTTTTTTATTTTTAAAAAGAACAATTTAAAAAAAATTTAAAATTACATTATGACAGATATAATGTGTGTTATAAAGGGAGAGGTTAATGTCGATGTTATAATGGTCTAAACGGTATAAGATACGAAACAACCAATAATTAAAGACAATACCTTAATGGCATGGATGATTGCTATCTACCGATTTAAATTATCCCTTGCCAATCAGAAAGAGTTGACCTAAGCTTTCCAAAAAATATAGTTGTTTTTCCAAGTTTTAAAGAGAAATAATAGTGAGCATTATAAAGGTTACAGCGTCCGATTTCTTTAAGGTTAACAAAAAGGTGGAAGTGACGAAAAAAGATTTTTCATGAGATGTTATGTGAAGAAAATGTTTTTTGAAGTAGTCATGTATGCATTCATATGACAAGCTTTAAATAATAGTTAAGGTAAAGAAATGAGACAGATAATAAAGATTAATGCTGCAAATGATGCAAAGATTGATCTAATATCATTACAAAATAAGAGAGAAAACTAATAAAGAAAAAGAGAAATGTCGATAGCTCAAAAGAAATCCTTACAACCTTTGATGTATGTACTAGCGTGTTGCTTATGTTTTGTAGTTGGTAAAATAAATTATTTTAATATAAAATTTTTTTAAAAAGTATATAAAATATTTTAAATGCTTTAAGTCTAATGGTTAAGCCATACCCAATAATCTTGGGTTTGGCTGTAAGGCCAACCCAAACAACGACCAATATCAGGCCATTAGACCTAAGGTCTAATAGCCTAGTGAAATTCAATATCCTTAGATCTAGTGGCCTACACGTGCCAACTATTTTTGAAATAAAAAAAATAAAATAGACATCCTTCATGGCATTTTGAACATCTATAATATGGTTCACAACAGTGTATTCTATGTTGCAAATACTCTATATATACATACTCTATACATACAGTACTAGCATAATAATTTTCTCACGTGACATAATATAATATAATGTGCGTGTACTTATAATTTATTATGTATATGTTATGTACAAATAGAAAAAAAGATGGCTAAGGGACTCTACATAATGGACCATTATTATAGACACGACATCATGTAAACCTCGAGAAAATGCCCTAAATGCCCTTTGTTTTCATCTTCAAATGCCAGCATTACTCTAGATGTAGTGCAGCACCGGCCATCCAACCAGAATAACAGCACACTTGCAGCACATGTATCATCCTCCAATATTTGTTCTCCATTCGTTGTGTGCAGTCATAAAATAAGCTATTAACCACAGACGTCAAGTGAATAGCCATAAAAGAGAGAAATTGCAAGAGAAAATACAAGACCAGAAAAAGTTCTTCATTGCAGCGACATAGTGATATAAAGCATCTATGACAATTCCATATGTATACACGATCTGTATATGGTATATTATATGTACCTATACAGTTAATGCAGTATCGGTAAAGATGAATGTCAGTGAATTCAACAAGCTGATGGTGTCAATCTGATCCAACTAACTAGACATGATCAAGTCAGAGTAAAGATTAGATCCAAACCACAAAAGATAGAAGAATGGTTCTCGAACAATCTGCGGAATTATCATAATTTTCATTGAAGTGTATACGCGTCATGAGAAAAGGGCATTTGTACTGCAATTCATCCAGGGCAAAACTCACTGAACACAGGCAACCTCTTCTTTATAGCCGGACCATGGAGAACACTGTGAATATAGGCATCCACTTCTGCCATTGATATGCATTTATCAGTTTGATGAGGCAAGGCAATCTCAATGCCATCATCCTGTGGTGACCAGTAGTCCGAGCTGATGGTAGCAGTGAAAACCATTCTAGAGTCTTCAGATTTAATGTTGGCAGCTGGGCTTTTATTGCAATGTTCTGGCCTGGTAGAGATGTAGGTTCTGAGAAAGTGATCAGGTGTGGAGAATGTGGTGGAGCTATTCTTGCTGAATTTTTCAGATGAGATGGCGATGGGGCTGATGCTGGTATATCCTGGTATTTTAGAGACAGCTGTTTGGTTTGCAGCAACAGCAGCTTTGGCCATGGCAGGAGGAAGAATGCGGCACTTTGGGACATACGGGCTTGATCTGGGACTGTTAACATATGAATTGCAAGTATGTACCTAAGAAATACCAAACAAACAATCACAAAAGTCGTATGAGCGGTTGATTTCTGCCAAAATCAGTTCGAAGGTAATCCCTAACTGAAATGCAAGGCATCTGGTTACCACTGCTTTGTTCTTGATGGGGAAATGAGTTGGATGGAGCTCTTCTTTACCATGTGCAAACTGCATGTAACAAATACTCTCATTAGTTGACAACAGAATTGCAATAGTCCTTGCATCACTGCAAATGACAATTGCAACACTCTCAGCATAATAGATTTAGGACAGAACGCAGCAATATTCTAGATCTTGTGGTAGTGTTTGTATAAAATCCAGTATGACAGAGAGCGTGGCCAAAAAATAGTCATTAGCTGTCATCGTATGCTGTGACCTGCCAACCATGGACTTGGTTAGCTGGCAAACCATATAAAAGAAAAAAGCTTTTTGGTCATAGCCAAGCCCTTCCGGTTTAAAGGAATGATTTTAGGACTCGCTAATTGAAAGCGGGCTAAGCAGCAGCTAGCAATTCAAGACCTACACCTTAAGTAAACTGATTTTGGAACTCCATGCATAACAAATTTGATACTTAAAGTCAACATGGAAGAAAATGATTCACAGAAACGGTATCACTTTGCGAGTCAGAAGGCATGCATTTGTTGGCTCCATCTAACAGAAAGAAGAGGAACCTCTTCTGTTGAAGACGTACATATACTGATACATTTCATAGAAGATGAATGAAAAACACAAAGGTCGCATATTTATAGATGATTTGGTTAAAAATTACTTCAATTGACAACAGCTGATCTCTTTATCTTTAATGCAATTTAATTAAATAGGCTATCCAAATCCATCATTCTACCAGACAATTAACAAGGTCCTGGTACAAAAAGATAACAATGACCAAAACTGCTATATAAAATTCTTACTCTGTCTGGACAAGGATGTCAAAAGAATTGAGTTTGACATAAGAAAATACAAGAAATGAGCATAATTAAAGAGTGCTCGAGAAACTATCAAGAGAGAGCACAAGTGACCATCCTGGCTTAAACCACATTTTTATAGGCATAAAGGTC